CAAGGTGCTTGATAAAAAAAATCTGTATGTAAATACATGTTTGGAACAAGAGGAAGGTACTACAAGGAAAGTCCAGAGGAGAGGCCCAGTTGGCCTCAGCTGCATACTGAAAACTACATGGAGTGGTGCACACGTATTTTTATTGCTCTCAATGGCACTCTAACAGTGAGGAATTTGGGCAAATTTTTGTTCCTTTCACAGGACTGTATTCTGACTCCTTCATGAGTCTTTCATGATTTACAAATAGTTAAAAGTGGCAAACAGTATATCTATTGAATATCTTCTTTTTTTACATTCATAGGTGAGTTTACACCTGAGATGCAGGTGAGAATTCGACAAGAAATTGAGAAGGAGAAAAAAGTAGAGCCATGGAAAGAGCAATTCTTTGAAAGCTACTATGGTCAGAGGTAATATCAAAATAGATTCTGTCATGTGGTGCTTCATCTTATTTCCTTCCCAGAAAATCTAGTCCTTAATTTCCTTCTATATCTTTACAATTCTCAAGGACACAGAGTTGGTTATGGATGGGATGGTTTCTTTAAAAAAAAAAAGATTTTAATGATCTTGAATTAAAGTCTCTTTCTTTAAGTAGATTGGCTTTTCTTCCAGTATCATTATAAAATATAAAAATACTGAAGTCCTATATATTTCATACAGTAATTTTAATTCCACAATATGAATCACTAAGGAATTCTAGGGATCCTGTAACAAGGTCTGTTATATCCAGTGTTTAATTAAACGGCCTCTCCTCTGTAGAAGGCACTCTGAAACAAGATATAAATCCTGTTCTCAAGAAGCTGTAGTCTAAATCAGTTTTTTTCTAACAAAAAGTCCAAATGAAGTCTTTTTTTTGTTGTTGTTCTTTGTCTATTTATTTATTTATTTTTTATTTTTTATGTTTTTTATTGATTTTTTACAGAGAGGAAGGGAGAGAGATAGAGAGTTAGAAACATCGATGAGAGAGAAACATCGATCAGCCGCCTCCTGCACATCTCCTACTGGAGATATGCCTGCAACCCAGGTACATGCCCTTGACCGGAATCGAACCTGGGACCTTTCAGTCCGCTGGCCGACGCTCTATCCACTGAGCCAAACCGGTTTTGGCCAAATGAAGTCTTAATGGAGGACATTGAAATAGGAGACAATGGAGCTGTGTTGTTTGAAATAGGATTGAACACGCAGTCTTAATTGTTTGTTAGTCTCCCTTTCTTTTGCATAACTAATGGGAACCTTTAAGGAGACTCCATAACCACAGCTTGAGAACTATTGGCTCTCTTCCCTTTCTCTAAGTGATGTTCATTGACATCTTCATGGTCATTTAGGAAATGATTCCTATTGGGATTAAGAGTCTCATATACTGATTTTTCTATATTCTTGGTATGAGTTTTGAGTTCTATAGAAATGATGGTATGTATACATTTAGACCATTATTACAGATACCAGGTATTCCAAAATATTGTTCATTCTCTCCTCAGGGAGATAGAGCATTACAGCAGTTCTTGGATCCTTCCGTATTTAGCTCTTTTTGCCAACTTTTATAGAAGGGCTGTTTTTTATTACTGTCCAATTTTGTAATTAGCCATTTCATCTCAGAAGTGCAGTACTGATTATTTGAAGTCACCAAAGAGGGTTGCCTTGTTTTTATCTGTTAAGGATTATTCTAGAATATATAGGCCAGAAACTGAACCAATAGGCTGGGAATGGATTCCAGGTCTCCCAAATGGGAGGCAAGAATTCTACCACTGAACCACCAATGCTTCCCATTAAACAATATTTTCAAACATTAGAAGGAGTCCCTATGACCCCTACAGAGTAGCCTAGTTCTTAGCCAGGCAACACTACGGTAGTCTCAATTGTCCTTCACTCCCAGGATAACTCAGAGGCACTGGATTACAGAGCTATATCAAGTAAATTAAATAGGATTTCCAAAAACTCAGAGTTGTAATTCTCATCCTCTGGAAAACATTGACAGCCAACTGTCCTATTATCTCCTCAGGGTCTCTTAGGTTTTAGGGACTAGTCTTTCTACAGATACTGCAGAGCACAGCTGATCCAGTCTAAACCCACAATCTCAGGGTGTGTCGATCTTGGCCTTCTTTCACTTCCCTCGACGATAGTCTGTGATGCATGTCTCTAGACAGTGTGGCCCCTTTATAACAGGAAGTAATAATAATAATGAACATTATTGCCCTTCTATTATGGGCTAGGTACTAATCTTAAGTATTTTACATGCATTAACTTAGTTAATGATTATAGCAATGCTATCAAATGATCAACCTCAGTGCACAGTTGAAGAAACTGAGATACAGAAGTCTAGTCACTTACTTAATATAACATGGCTAGTCAGTATCAGAGCTAAGATTTGAATCCAGGCACTCTGGCTCCAGAACCTTCAATAATAATAATAATAATAATCCTGATGATGATGATGATGAAGATATTATAAGAAGGATACATATTATGCATCAGGTTCTTCTAGGCATTGCCATATACCATTATCTCATAATGTTTTCAATAACACGGGCCATTTCTCAACTAGAATATTTCTTTCTTCCACCTTTTAGTTCTGGCCTGAGCCTAGAGGATTCAAAGAAATTGACAGCTTCACCCAGCGATCCCAAAATAAAGAGACCCTCAGCCGAGCAACCAAAATCCATGCTTCCTTCAGAGGCCTCTCCTGTCAGTATAATCCCTGTAATTCCCCAGGTAGAATCTAAAGAAGAAGTAGTGCATATGCCATCACCAGTCAGAAAAGAAGAGCATGAAAGCCAAGATAAGGTGCAGCCAAACCCTGAGTCCACAGAGCCCCTTCTTTTCTCTCCCAGCGATACAAATGAGCTTAGCAGCATTCTTCCCATCAAGTGCCCAAAGGATGAAGATGCCTCGGGGCAGAAGCCAGTTGCCTCTGCTGAACAGGAATCTGAGAAAGAGAATCATCTCACTACAGCATCTAATTATAACAAAAATGAAAGCCAAGAGGCTTTAGTTAAGTCTCCAAGCAAACCCAAGAGTCCTGGAGTAGAGAAACCAATAATGAAGCCCGTAATAGAAGCAGGTCCGCAGGAGGCCACTATGAAAGAGCCTTCATCAACTCTGGTCGATCATAGCCCAGAAAGCCTCAAGAGGAAATCTCTCACCCAAGAAGAGGCCCCTACAAGCTGGGAGAAAAGGCCGCGTGTCACTGAGAATCGCCAGCACCAGCAGCCATTTCAAGTCTCTCCACAGCCCTTTCTTAATAGAGGGGACAGGATCCAAGTGCGAAAAGTACCACCTCTCAAGGTAAGAGAATTTACCAAACTGAAAGAGAGATGTGGCCTGAACACTAAGTTTTTGGTCATGCCTACCAAATTTGAAGTAATTAGTGGTATTTTTTAATGCTGAAGCAATTATATATATTCATATAAGACAACTGTGGTCTTATATATATAAAATTGTCAATAAACAGCTATTTAGACTACATTCCTACAGATCTTTATTATTTGACTAAGTAAGGTACCTGGATATCTGATGGCTACTTTTGTATTTTAAGACAGTTATGGAAATTATTGTCTCATGTAGCAAAATCCTATATAATAAAAGCCTAATATGCTAAGTGTCCGGTCGACTAGTCGACCATTCAACCAATCAAAGCATGATATGCTAAGGCTGCTCAACCGCTCGTTATGACGTGAACTGACCAGCAGGGGCAGACCAGTCGCTATGATGTGCACTGATCACCAGGTGACAGATGCTCTGACCGGTAGGTTAGCTTGCTGCTGGGGTCTAGCCAATCGGGACTGAGCAAGACTGGCCGGACATGTCCTGTAGCCCTCCCACAGTCCCTCCCCGGCTGGCCAACCTCCTGTGTCTCCCTGGCCCTGATCGTGCACTGGTGGGGTCCCTTGGCCTGGCCTTTGCCCTCTTGTAATCCGGGACCCCTCAGGGGACATCAGAGAGCCAGTTTCGGCCTGATCCCGCAGGCCAGGCCGAGGGGCCCCACTGGTGCACGAATTCATGCACCGGGCCTCTAGTAAGAAGTATAATGATAAACATGAGGCCATTGTTGTGATCCAAAGATCATATATTTGTACCAAAAACCATGATATTTAAGTGTACCCTGGCCTTTTTCTTACTACTATAACTGGTGTGATGTGTAGTTCTAGAGCTACCTTTAGTCCATCCTTTTTTTTTTAAATATATTTTTATTGATTTCAGAGAGGAAGGGAGAGAGAGATGGAAACATCAATGATGAGAGAGTATCATTGATCGGCCGCCTCCTGCACATCCTCCCCTACTGGGAATTGAGCCCACAACCTAGGCAGGTGCTGATTGGGAATTGAACTGTGACCTCCTGGTTCATATGTTGACTCTCAGCCACTGAACCACTCTGGCTGGGCCAGTCCATCCTTTTAAAGGAAATGTGTGGCTACCATGAGTCCACTGGTTACTACCTGAAGGACTTTGGTAAGATGGCATAGTCTTGCTAAGCTCTACTGTTAGGATATGTCATTAATTTCTATTTTAACCTTATATTTCTATTTGTCAAATCTTTTAAATTCCTATGGCAGTGTCTCTCTCAGTGTATAAAGACTGCATCTAATCAGCAGTGTACTTTTGAAAACCCAAATACATTTTTACTTTTGATTTAAAGGTTTATTACTTCTCGGGTTTGTGCTTAATATCAGTTTGCAGTCCTTTCTCTTATTTAATTAATACATAATATTTATTAGTATGTTTTTATTAATAGTATTTATTAAAACCATTGTGTCTACTGTGAGCCCAGGCACTGGGTATTCATTCACTGTAGGATATAAGTAGAAAAATAAGCCATATAGAAATACTGCTTCCCTCTCCCTGCTTTTATTTAACTTAGGTGAATCAGAGTTAGTTCTGTCAGGAAGTATCCTAAGGAAACATTCATTTACTAGTACTTGACCCATTTCATGTACCACATGACTTCTGTTTCTCATTTTGCCTCTTATTACTAAAAGTATGATGTTCCTCATTACTTTTTATTTTTACCATTTATGGTTTCATTACTTAGGAATCTTTCCTTATTTTTGACAATTTTCTACCACTAACATTCTGTCATGCTTTGCCAGATATTCTGATTTATACGATAATTATTTTTACTATTCTTATAAAGATAGTAGAAACTTTAAAGAAATATATATCTTTATTGATTTCAGAGAAGAAGGGAGAAGGAAAGAGAGATAGAAACATCAGTGATGAGAGAGAATCATTGATTGGCTGCCTGCTGCATGCCCCCATCTGGGGATTGAGCCCGCAACCCAGACATGTGCCCTTGACCAGAATCAAACCTGGGACCCTTCAGTCTGCAGGCTGCTGGCGCTCTATCCACTGAGCCAAACCAGCTAGGGCTAGAAACCTTTTTTTAGTGAATGTTAATCAGAACTAATCTTCAGACCTGAGAGCTGAGTTATGTTTAGATTTTACTTTATATCAATGACACATGGTGAGATCTATCCTTTCTATTTCCTAATCTATAAAGAGGCTGAATTACATCATAGTTTACTAATCCAAAGAGGCTCAATGCTGAAAACTTAAATCCATTCTCACCAAGCTAATACTATTTAACTTTTTTCCTTCTAATATTTTCTCCTTCTTCATCCCCCCCAAAAGAATTTGTACCAGAAGTTGCTTTAGTAACTATAATTTTACCTTAGACTCTATTTCAAATCCCGCTTTCTTAGACAAAGCTTAAAGTCATTTATAACAAAATACCTTTTAAACAAAATTTAAATAGAAAAACAAAATTTGAATTTTATTGCAAATGTTATAAATGTATATAAAAATTGTGTTGCTGTCTGCATGATTTGGTCTCATCAGAAACTTCCCATCTTTGGCACAGGTGTTGTAGTGTTCATCCTATTCTAAAAATATGTTAACATTTTGTTATTCTTATAAATGAAAACTAAGCTCTGTTGTCCCGTTTCCCCCTCCCCTACTTCTTTCAGATCCCGGTCTCCAGAATCTCCCCCATGCTGTTTCCTACATCGCAGGTCTCTCCCAGGGCTCGTTTTCCAGTCTCCATCACTAGTCCTAACAGAACAGGAGCCAGAACTCTTGCCGACATCAAAGCAAAAGCCCAGCTGGTCAAAGCACAGAGGGCAGCAGCCGCCGCTGCCGCCGCCGCTGCTGCAGCCGCCTCAGTTGGAGGGACCATCCCAGGACCTGGCCCCGGGGGTGGACAAGGCCCAGGAGAGGGCGGTGAAAGGAAAACCGCCAGAGGAGGGAATCCAGACTCAGACAGAGTCAGAGAACCTGGAAAGGGCCCCACACTGGAACTGGCAGGAACTGGAAGCAGGGGAGGTCCGAGAGAGCTTTTACCCTGTGGTTCAGAGACTCAGCCCCAATCTGAGACCAAGACCCCAGGCCAGCCACAGCCTCTTAGTGTCTCTGGAGCACAACTACAGCAAACCTCCTCAGTGCCTCCGTCTGCCATCAGTGGAGCATGCACACGTGTCCCATCACTAGCTCACACTGACCCACCCACGCCGACGTTAGGGAAACTGAATATTGAGAAACTGAATGCCGCCAGGGCAGCAGCCGCAGGGGCCTCTCTGAGCCACCCACCAGGGCCCAGTCACTGCAGGCAGGAGAAGCTACCTTCCGCTCCAGCGGGTCCTGCTCTAATCTCAGATGCCACACCTGTTCATTTTGCAGCTGATGGCACAGTTGAGCCCAAAGCAGGTTGTAGTAAGAATACAGCAAACACTTCAGCCTCAGCAGAGACAACTGCCAGGGCTTCAGTGGATATGACCTCCTCCCCTTTAACATCTTTATTAATAGCAGCCACTTTAGAAAAGCTTTCCATACCCCAGGTTAGTGGAACTGTAGCACCTTCCGGACCAGTTCTATCCTCAAGCACTTTGCCAGCAATTTCTAGCCTTAAAACTCCAGGAACTTCTTCACACATGAATGGACCCATTTCGCGGCCAAGCTCAAGTATCCCTGCTAATAACCCTCTGGTCACTCAGCTGCTCCAGGGCAAAGATGTTCCCATGGAGCAGATTCTGCCGAAACCTCTCACCAAAGCTGAAATGAAAACTGTTCCTCTGACTGCAAAAGAGGAAATAGGGATGGGAGCACCCACAGGCGCCAGCAAAACAGAGCATGGCGCCAGAGAGGAAGTTCATGAGAGGCCTTCTCATCCAGCTACACAGCAACTGGGTCAAACCTTGCAAAGTAAGCATCTCTCCCAGGTCCCCAGGCCCCTTCAGCTCTTTTCAGGGAAGGATCTGAGGGACTCCATCATTGACCCACACCAAGAAGGACTAAGTAAAGCACCCCAAGATCAGGTCCTTCAGACTCTCATCCAGAGGGTTCATATCCAGAGGCATAATGTTCTCTCATTTGTGCAGCCCGCCCAGTTCAGCTTCACTCACTCAGGTTTCCAGGTAGAAGACATCTCCACAAGCCAGCGGTTCATGCTGGGCTTTGCTGGCAGAAGGACTTCGAAGCCTGCAATGGCAGGTCACTACTTACTTAACATTTCCACCTATGGCCGGGGTTCAGAGAGCTTTAGGAGGACCCATTCTGTAAACCCTGAGGATCGTTTTTGTCTCAGTAGTCCCACTGAAGCCTTGAAAATGGGATATACAGACTGTAAAAATGAAACGGGAGACAATAGCAGTGACAAAGAAGATACTGATGAGGAGAGTACTGCTGATGAAGAAGAATCGGCCATGGTGAAGGAGGAGCCCCAGGCTTCCCAGAGTTCTGGCAAGTGTGAAGCAAGTTCAGGACCCCACAGTAGAGAAGCCCTATCCACTGATTGTTTAGCTAAAAAGAATGTGAAGGTAGAGACACCAGTGCAAACCGCTTTAAATAAGGAGAATTATCTGTTCACTAGAGGCCAAACATTTGATGAAAAGACCCTAGCCAGAGATCTTATTCAGGCAGCGCAGCAGCAGATGGCTCATGCAGTGAGAGGGAAGGCAATGCAGAGCAGCCCTGAGGTTTTCAGTGCCACTGCTCTTCCTCCACCTGCAGACAGTCCCACTCCTCAGCCTCTCCTCCTTCCACCACTGCAAACCCCAAAGCTGTATGGGAGCCCCACACAGATTGGGCCCAGCTACAGAGGCATGATCAATGTCTCCACCTCGTCTGACATGGACCATACCTCTGCTGTACCAGGGATGCCTGACTGTGGCCCCGTATCTAGCAATGTAGGTGATGTCATGTCCTTCTCAGTGACTGTCACTACCATCCCTGCTGGCCAAGCCATGAATCCCAGCAGCCATGGCCAGACCATTCCTGTTCAGGCATTTCCTGAAGACAACAGCATAGAGGACACGCCTTCGAAATGTTACTGCCGATTGAAAGCCATGATCATGTGCAAGGGGTGTGGAGCCTTCTGCCATGATGACTGCATTGGCCCCTCCAAACTGTGTGTCTCCTGCCTTGTTGTTCGGTAACAAGACCAGAAAGAACACACTGTAAAGGAGGCAGAAGGGAAGGGTTGGCAGGCTGGTTTTTTTGTGTCCTTTTGGAATCACAGAAATAAACAAGTAGATTTCAGTTGTCAAGAGACAAATGTTACTTAATCAGGTATACAGAGTACAGATCTTACATTTTAGAGGAAGAGCACCTTTATAGTCTAAGTCAACAAGACTTTGTGAATTTGTGACAAGTTTGCACTTACAAAATCATGTAAATATGTCACATTTTGTTTTAACATTACTTTTCCAAGTGTTTAGGTAATAATGTATTACTTTTAATTCAAATTTATGGTCTGCTTCATGTGACTCTAAGTTTAATGCCATGCATGGTGAAAGGAAGCTTGTCTGCCTTCTGTCCTTTCCTAAGAGGCTGGGAAGAGGAAGGAGTGAACAAAATGGTCTGGAGAAATGATGTTTCATGCTGATTATGTCTTAACCATCTGCCTATAGGTTTTATGTGGATTATTCAGCCTTTCCAGAATATGGATTCAGGGTTTACTAAGTCCCTTTACTTTAGATGGAATCTTAAGTTCAAATTTTTGATAAGGTATTCATTTCACAGCTAGTGCTTCAGACTCCGAAAGCTCTTGACTTGGTTCTTGGCTTCCATAAGCCAATACTATTGCCAAGCACACTGTGTGCAATTTGTGGGTCCCTGCTGTTCCCTAATCCTATTCACCTGCCCTGAGATAGTGAAGGTGGTCCAGGAAGAGTGTGCCTCTCTGGCCCCCGGTGTTACCATAGCCTGGGCAGGGCCACAGCTCCAGCAGTAACCCAAGTACTTAGTCATGGGAGCCTGCAACAGGTTTGAAATACTAGTATTAAATGAACAGAAAAGTGTTAGTGCTGGGCTAATTTGAATTATGTGTTTTGTTGGTCAAGGGGAGTAAAGGTGTAGAAACAACGAAGATATTTGGGAAAGATTTTTAACATTAGAAACAAGGTAGCCTCTTTCTTTTCTTCAGCACATCACCCAATGCTCCGTCGTCAGCTGTTGCTGCGGGTAGAACAGCTCAGGAGCGCCACAGTTGCTCATTCTGGTAAACCTGTTTTGACCTCCCAGGCATCTGAGGAGTATGGATGATATGTTACTTTGAAGACATGTATGCACTCACACATACAATAAAAGGCAGACACTTTTCCTGTTTTAGAAAATATGTCCCCTGTTTTGGATTTCTGCTGTCTATGCACTAGAAGTTTTTAATGTGAAGGGGCTTCAGTAAATGGCTAGGGAAACATCTAGAAAGGAGAGAAGTTACCTCTAAAGCTTTGTTGTTTGTTTTTATTCTTTTTTGTGTGTCCTTGTTGTGTTTTTAATCCTGTATTTAGCAACTAAAGAATTTTCAAGTACATATATTTAGGTCATGGTTAAAGAACATTAAAATAAGCTGACCATTTACCAGAATTTGATATTTTAAAATGGAGTATTGTCGACGTGCATCATTTGCATATTGATTTCAAGTTTTCTAATTCCAAGTGTGTAAAGTAAAAATACTATAACTAGTACAGTTGTAGTTGTACTTAATATTCAGGATGTGGTATTTATAACATGCAGAACAGTGTATACTTGTTAATCAAGTCACATTCCAGATTAGGAGAAAGTAGCAGTAATAATCTTTGCTTTGCTTCCATTCTGCTACCCAATCTTCCCCTCCCTCCATGTTATACATTCTTAATATTTTCAAACTCCCTAAGAGACTCATTACTTCACTTTTTTGCTTCTGTTTTTTGTGTGGTCCAAGGCAAATAGAGGACTAATATCTATGTTCTTGTTGCAGCCAAGACAATATGTCATTCTAACTTCCCTTTTTCTTCCAGCACACATATAGCTAAGAGAAATGAAAGCTGCAAGTATCCAGGGATAAGGTTTAAGTTCTCCAGCTAAGAACCAGCAACAAACAGAAACCGTGGTTCTGTTCCCAAACTTCTCAGTACCCTGGGAAATTCAGGGGGAACTTGGAAAGACCTAAAGCTGGTTAGAACTTCCATTGCCCAGCTTCTGCACTCCCCATTTGAGTGGCAGACTGAAAGTTGGTCTGCATGCTGGAAGTTGCTGAGAGTTTAGAACTGACGAATTAGTTACCAATTGGGGTTGATTAATGTGGCTTTTCTTCTTCGAAACTTTCCTGAAATAGAAAATATCTGCTCTGTGGTTCCTTTAAGCTGAGGATGGATAGACTAACCAGGAAAGGAGGAAAGGATCAGGGATTTTCAAGTTCATTTAGAGAGCAAACCATATCGTGCCTCTTAATCTTGACCCATGCTCTTGCAGATGGTCCTAAAATTTACTGTTCACAAGATTTTCTTCAGAAGTAATACAATACCCAACTAATAAAATACCTGCACTTACTACTGCCCCTAAAACAGAAATTGTCAACTAGGTACACTGCCTCAATATTGACCAAAAGAGAGAATAGTTAGGTTTTCTTAGCTTGGTAGTAAACTGAATACAACCCATAAATCAGTTTGTTTGAAAACATTGGTTTCAAGTTGAAAGCCATGAACTGAATAGAGGAGAAAATTATGATCTTGAAAATAAGGCAGAAGGAACAAGAAAATCATTAAATTATTGAAGTGTGGCATGGCACTCCAGTACCTTTAAAGCAATTTTTATTTTAGGTTTTCAGAATTACTTTACCATTCAATTCAACCTAGTAAGTGCTAAGCTTATTTTTCTGATATTAAGTTGCACTGTTTCGAGTGACTAGTCAGGCCTTATGCCTGATGCTTATTATGCCTCCAGGGTGTGCTTCCGACACCTCCCACTGCAGGTCACCTTGGAGCAAGCACTAACAGTATGTCATCTCAGTCTCGCTTATGAATATTGAGTCATCTAGTAAAGAGGCTCCCGGAGTCTTAAAGAATTTTGACTAAAATTCTCTATCCTATTAAATAGAGAATAAAGCCAAATAACCTGGCGTGTTTGCTCTGCTTTTATTCCTTAACTCCTGTGCTCAAGATACTAAAGCTGTCTGTGGTATCCCATGTCACATTTTAAAGAATCAGACCTGACAAATGGGGATTTTTACTTGGGGTAGGAGAAGCATACTTGCATGGGCTGGGAAGGCACACAGATGGAGTTGTTTTAGGAAGTTATCTCATTTAAATAAGCCAAAGGAAGACCTCATTGCCTTCCAGGTGAAGGAGTAAATCATACATATTAATGACCTGATAGTCATCATCCTAATTGCTTATTATTGCCATTCTCTGCCTTAGAGTCCTTTAAAAAACTCTTGGGTGAAATGATTTGTTGTAATTAGGGGATCTTCTCTGGTCATTACACTGCTATTTATTTCTAGAACTCACTGTCAGTGAGCAGTGTGAGGATTGTTCTCTGTAACCTAGAGGTTCGATTTCACGACAAGGAGGGAGTCTCCCCATTGCATTACAGCAATGTGCTGAGTAAAAACTTGGCCAAGAGTAGTTTTTAGCTCAGTTTATAGACAAGTCCAAAGAGACTGAGAAACATGATGGGCAGAGATCTTCCCTGCCATGTTTCAATACCTACATACCTATTGAAAGGAAAACAATAGGTAAAAACATTTCCTAAAGTTGAAGAGCCGCATAGATTATTGGTTACTTTATTTTTATTAATGCTTTACATTTGATACAACTATTAAAGATCAATTTTAAAAATAGCTTTCCAATAATATATTTTAAGTAATATATATTTTAATATCTATGTAAAAGTGGAAGACTGAAGTTCTCATATATGGGATGTGTAATGTAGGACCTCACTGTTACGGCACAATTTCATAGGAAGTTATTCTAAAGACATTCAGATTATTTCCAAAAAAATGCAATAAGGGGGTTGGAATTTATTTTTTATTTGAAAGGAAAATTGACTTATTTACCACAAGCTATTTTTTTTTTTCCTTTTGGCTATAAGGTTTGTATAGACTGGTTTGGTAAAAGCTAAACTTTTGTGTCTTTTTGCCTTTTTAAAGGAATTGTTAACATTGGAATTGAGGGTATGTACAGAAAAGTTGGTGTCAACACCATTTAAAAAGTCATATTTTTTCACAAATATAGAAAAATCATTTTACATAAGAACTTTAAGTATTTGCAATAAATATATGTATATAGATTGTGTGTATTCGTATATTCTTATTTTTCATTTTATTAACTAAAAGATAATTAAAGGGAAAATAAAGACTGGAGTCTTTGGTGAATCTCGAGTTCTGACATGTATCTGAGTGATGTGGGCAAGGGCCTTCAGTTACCTTTTATTACTATTGGGAGAGTTCAGAACTATAGTAAAAACGTTAAATTCTCTCAGTCTGTCCATCTATTTTCACCCTTAAACTGTTCTGTCTCCTGACCACCTCATGCCAGTAGGAAAGTAAAACAAAAACAATAAAACCCTAGGTGCACTCTTTTTTAAAAAAAAAAAAACAAATATGCTCATTGTTTGCTTCTAAAACAAATGGTAAGAAAATATCTCCGGGGAAAATAGGTTTTCCTTTCTCCACACTGGTTAATAATACATTAACAAACATTCACTGCCAACACCTTCCAGGCCTAGGGGTGTGTGAAGAAATAATCTCATGAAGATAAAAGAACACTTACTGTTTCCCATTTTTTTCTCTGAGAAATGGGTTTCATAGCCAGTTTTATATCCCTGTTGATCTGGAGGGTAGAAGAGCTAGGTGAACGTGGATTTTGATCTCCCTAGTGTCAGGAAGGGCATTTGTGAAAATGACTGAGCCCACATGTTAGAAGACATTAATTGTCCGTAGTCCCGTACTTCAAGATAATCTGGAGTCCTGATGTGCAAGAGTTGTGGTTATAAATACTTAGTTTTAGGATATGCTTGAGGAAACCAAGTGATAACTAGATAGTCTTTGGAAGTAAAGGTATGTGGTATGTAGCCCATTCTTTTTAAATGAATAATATATAGATTTATTTGATAACATGAAAGAAAATAAGGTCAGAATTTCAAGAATATCTTAATGACCCATGAAATTGACTTTATTGTGTAGTTCACTAGTTCACCCCAAATTTGCTCAACTCTGGTTATTTTCACTGATAATAGCATATTTTGGAAATTAATAAGGATACCTAGCATGCTTTTTAAAAGACAGCCTTTCTATTTTTTCAGAAATTGAAATTTCATATATTGGGGTTGACTGATGATAGTTTAACTGTCCAAAAAAACAGAACTCTAAATCTTTACTGAAAATAGACCATTTCTAAAGAAAATTTCTAAGTCTCAGGGAACATCTGCATCTCCATAATTCCCACATATGATAGGAAAGAAGATGAGATATTTAAGTGTGTGTGAACCAGTCCATGATGACGATTTACAAAGACGTCTCCCCCACCTCATTTCTAGTACATATTTATCATTATTTAAAAGGGCCTCCTACCTCACTGGAAGTAAAACTTGCATTCAGGTAATGACATAGGGGCCTAAAGGTCTATTTGGTCTGCGGTTGAGTGAGAAAGAGCAATATACCAGGACACAGCTTCAACTTGAATCCTCAACTTTATTGACATCACAGTCTTAGAAACCTGTGTTCATTGCTTTTGACACTAAACTACAAATGGTCAGAAATCAGATTTTGCATACTGTTTTCAGCTATTTGTGTACAAATGTTAGTTGCTAATTCAGATATTTATTGAACCCCTACATGTACTAAGCACTGCGGAAGTTCTGGTGAAAGATCTTGCTAATGTAGTAACCATACAGCATATGTCTAGTGCAGGGCTCAAGGAGTAATATATGCTATGTATTTCCCAAGACATGGAAGTTTAATTGTAAATGAATTATTAAATAGAAGCATTTGAGACACTGGGCAAAACAGTGGCAAACCATGAAGAAAAGAGGCATCGACCTAGATGAGACAACAATGTGGAAGTCAGGAGCCATGTTAATTTACCTTCTTTTGTTTTTGTTTTTTAAGAACTTCCATTGGAAGATTTAGAGTTGATAGAAATTTTAAGAAATCTCTTAGTAATATCTAAATTGATGAAATAATCAGGCCAAAAGCAATTCCTTTCAATTAATTTGTCAGTATATCAGTAAAGATGCTTTAGCTTGTGTTTAATGAACACTTCCGAATAACAAGTGGGTAAATAACCCAAAAGAAGCTAAAGGGAATAAAAAAAACCATACCTTGATCATCTGGTAGCCTGGTGAGAACGTAGTGTATCTCTGAAAACATGTTGCATCCCTTTCCCCCCCCCTCAATAGATGTAGTGTTCTTTTTTATTCTAATATTGTAGAATTGGCTTTCCCCCCTTCTATAAGTTACAAAACTTGAATTAAAAGAGGCTTCAGCAGAACCCTAGCCCTTTTTAGTGGCCAAAATCCTAATTCTTTAAGGTTTTCTGGTAGAAGGCTTCAAACGGATGCCATTGTCTCTTATCAGTGCTTACTGGATTTCCCTTACCTTTTGTCTTTAACCTGTGTTACTGGATGGGCAACTTGAATCCTGTATGCCAAAAACATCCATATTTACCTTTAGTCAAAGAGGTATTCAGTGTATTCCACGATGTAAGGTATGTAGTCTCATCCCTGTCCAGGAAGTAGGAGGGTGGATATCCTGTATTTTCCTAGTACTTGGTGACCTTAAACTGAAGATTGGGCTTCTTTCATAGAGACTATAAAACTAAAGAATCTCTATACCTCCATGTAGCTTTCAGTTTCAACCTAAAAAGGGAGTCTCCTAGAAAGATTTCCTTTTAACAGGAAGGACAGACACTGAAGAGAGCCAGAGAGGATCAGCTGTGGAGAGGGACTGTGAATAGATAGTGGGCTCTCCCGTAGAGTAACTTTAAACTCAAGTTTTTTGGTTCTTCAAACTCAAAAGGAGTTTTAGGATATTTAAAAACATCTGATTTTCATCTTGACTGCAAGCCTTGAGGATGCCTAGGGAAGAAGCAAGGTAAACCCAAGATTGGATTTAAGTAAACTTTAAATTATTATTGTTGTTTTAAAGTTTTGGGTTCTGATAAGATAATGAATTGCCATGAGTGGAACATGGAATTTGGAGGCATTTTGTGGATTTTCAATTGAATTGTGGTGGCAGCTTTAAGCCTCTGATCACGATTTAGGGTTGTGCACCTGTGTCTGTTAACTGATCCAGACGTTGGCTCATAAGTAGTATTAAACCAACTTCTGTCAACACTTAATTTTATTAATTTTAATCATGGGCCTTCTATTTAAATATTTAAAATTCAGATTCGCCAAATGAGAAAACAATGCATTAAATGTTATCAACATATATGAAGATACTTTAGAACTATTATTTCACACCCAGCCAATGCTCTTCCTAGGGAAATTGTGGTTCATAAAATTTATGTTTCTTGGATCAGTTTTCATCATCTTTTTTCAAAAACCAGAGTCTAATGTTTTCAGAGACCTAGAGCTTAGGAATGATGAAGTTGGACTTTGACCCCAAGTCGTCAAATTTTTTCCACTTTAGGTTTTTAGGCAGTGGCAATTTGAAGACTATTAGTGACCTTAGCTAAACCTTCATGTAATCACTATACCTGCTTTAAATGAATAGAATTCTTCCTGAGTCTCAAATTTGGTTTCCCTTTTGTTGCATAAGGAGATGGATTCTGAGCTGGGAAGAACCTGGTCATTTGATCTCTGATAATAAACTACGGTTGGAAGGGCAACTTTGTTCTTAGAGATTTCATGAAATGGAGTCCATGAAAGATCTAGAGTACATGACAAATGACTCTAGAACTTTACACCTTTTTTCTTAGCCATAAGTGCTGTGATCTATTCTTTAAAAACCAATCTGAATTCTGTTATTCACTATATCACACCTGAAGACTTTCACCAGCACCAAGAGAAGTTAGAATGGAAGAAATGACCTTAAGTTAGTCTTGTTCACTTTAAAATCTTGGTGCACAGAGGCCTTAGCACTTTGACACATAAAACTGCCTTTTAGCTCCTCACTGTCATCTTTATTCCTCTCATTTTTAGACTTCCTCTCATTGGTTGTATAAAACTACCTTCAGAATTGAATGTATAATAATATTTCTGTACATGGATGGACTGTATTTTATCTTAATGACTCATTTATGTTGAATAAAGGCATACAGTTTTACTCTAGATTGTGCCTTTTCTTTTCCAAAGAAACCAGACATCGTGCTGAATGACTTACCTGCTTGTTGCACCTTCCCTGTGCCCGGTGGCACAATTGTCCCTGTGTTCTGGCTAAATTTGGATGCCACAGAAAGTGCTGGTCTCTTCAGGCAACACTTGAGGATTAAAAGAACACAAGACAGAAAAAGTGTGTGTGTGTTTAAAAAATAAAAAGTAAGTCTCTACTGCAAAGCTACAGAAATCAAAACAGTGTGGTAATAGCATAAATACAGATACACAGACCGATGGAATAGAATAGAGAGCCCAGAAATAAACCCTCACATATATGGTCAAATGATTTTTGACAAAGGTGCCAAGACTGGTCAATGAAGACAGCAACATTTCAATAAATGCAAGAGAATGAAATTGGACTCTTTACACTACACCATATATAAAAATTAACATTAAAAACTCAGAACAAAATGGGAAGGGCTTCGTAATTCAATTTGATAATGATTTCTTGGATATGATGCCAAAAGCATAGGCAACAGAAGAAAAAATAAATTGGATTTCATTAAAAAATGAAAACTTGTGTATCGAAGGACATTATCAACAGTGAAAAGGCAATCCACACCTACAAAATGGGAGAAAATGTTTGCAAATCATATTTTTTTAATGTAAATTCTTGTGTTTTTTAATACTTTATTGATTTTTTTACAGAGTGGAAGG